GTGTTATAAAATTTAGTTTTATTCGGTAAAAGTTAGAAAAGTAAGAGTTATGACAAATGGTCTGGTGGAAGAAAAATACATTTTAGTTCTAATAATTTCCTGTTGAAATAAATTTTCTCCCTAAAATCACTCTCATTTTTATTAAAGAGCCAAATTAAGACCAATTTACTTACTGTATTACATTTAGCTACAAATTGGCCTGATGGTTTGCATGAACACAACAAGAATAACAGTTGATCACACAGACTATTTAAAAAAAATATTCTTTACTGGAATCTCATGAGAAAGTTTACTCCCAGGGCAAAGAAACCAAGCCACACAGTTGCTATCAGGTTTCGCCTGCAATACCTACAGAATTGGGGTGCATTCCTTGAGTTAAGGTCCCTGCAGGTGTCTTAAGGTTTCTTTCATGCCACCTCTCAGGAAAGCAACTTTCGTTCCTCACCTGGAAAGACTGTCATGAACTACGTGACCAAGCAAGGTACCAGGCTATTTATCCAAGGGGCTTATCGGCTTCAGAGTCAGTCTTCATTCCTTAGAGCAGTGGTTCTCAACCTGTGGGTCGCAACCCCTTTGGCGGTCGAACATCCCTTTCACAGGGGTCGCCTAAGACCATCCTGCATATCAGATATTTACATTAGGATTCATAACCGTAGCAACATTACAGTTATGAAGTAGCAACGAAAATAATTTTATGGTTGGGTCACAACATGAGGAACTGTATTTAAAGGTCCAGAAGGTTGAGAACCACTGCCTTAGAGCTTTCTGGCGACATCTAGAGTTCTGGCATGTGTCTCTCAGACATGACATTCCAGTAAAGTTTTCGTTAATAAAACCACAATTGGAAACTGGCTTACATCCTGTTATGAAGAAATCAGATTCTTTTTGGATTTATGCAAACAAACACATTGCCATGAGAACAATACTCATTAAGAGTTTCTAGTTTCTGGAGGAATCAGATATGGAGAAAAATATAAATGCTGTAATACTGCCTATCAAGGTACAATTTACCAAACTGCTTTTTGTTTGTTTGTTTGTTATATTTTATTGATTTTTTACAGAGAGGAAGGGAGAGGGATAGAGAGTTAGAAACATCGATGAGAGAGAAACATCGATCAGCTGCCTCCTGCACACCTCCTACTGGGGATGTGCCTGCAACCAAGGTACATGCCCTTGACCGGAATCGAACCTGGGACCTTTTCAGTCCACAGGCCAATGCTCTATCCACTGAGCCAAACTGGTTAGGGCCGAAACTGCTTTAAGAAAAGAAACAAGTTCCCTTATGCCTGGAAAACAAGAAGGTTAAAAATCAGCAATATTTTTAATAAAAGTTACAAAAACTATACAATTATTTTTAGCTCATTCAGTTCTATAATCACATTCTGTTTCTCCTGATTTTTCTTGCCAGTATTTCTATACATGCAGATACTCTATAGAGTTCTAGTAATTTTTATCCAATTCAAGGGGATGATCTGAAAGTTTATTCTCAGAGATATGTAGCTTAAAATAAATCAGAGTTCTTTCTATGGATCCCTCAGAAGATGTAACAGTTTTCCAAATGCATCATAACAAAACAACAACTGTCTCCAAAAGGCAAGAAATTTAAAATTATACGGTTATTGATTTGATTATAATGCAAATGGCATGGACTCTTGTCCTGCAACACACAATATTCTAAGATGGGCTTTTAAATAATCAAGTTTATGATTAACATAACATAACCATTTTAATAATATATATAAAACCTTTGCTTCCTAGGCAAATACAGGAACACCCCCCCCCCAACCCCCTCAGGAATGCAGCTACATGCAGGCCTGGGGGTCTGCAGATGCCAGTTATTATAATTAGTCATCAGGCGATGAGATGATGTTGATGAGTTGATTTCAGAAATAGGCTTAATTTCCTCATGGAAAATATACTCACATTCTTAAGAAGTATAACTGAGATAACATAACCTGATAACTCTTAGGAGGCTGCAAAAAAGGTGGGTGTGTATGTGGGGAGATAGAAGGCCCCGGGGTTTGTTCCTAGGACTGTAGCAACTCCTGGGCCTCCAACAGCTTTAGTGTAAAAGTACCATTTTTTTTCCTTTACAAGGAGAGTGCTCCCTCACCCTGTTGCTGCCGCTTCTGCAGCCTATTCAAGGGCACTTCTTTAGCTCCAGCCCTCTATGATATAAGTACTTGGGGAGTTTAAATGACTATTTCCCATATTTTTGTTTCTCAGTAGAATCCTTACATTACAGACAGACAGACAAGAACTCTCACTAGAGACCAAACAACAAAGAGACACAAACAACAATCAACAGAGACACTCTTATATACGATATTTACAGGTGCACATAACCACAGACAAGGCTTAATGAATCAGAGTCCTTTCCATGGATCTTTCAGAAGATGTCTTACTGTGCCCGGGACTTACAGCCAGAATGTGGCCCAGGGGGCTGCCAGCTGGGGTTGCTAGTGAACACCCACAAACAGAAACAGAAACAGCTATTGTTTCTGTTTATTTATTACAATCAGCTATTGTAATTACTCATCAGGCGATGAGATGATGTTAAGGAGATAATGTTTTGACTCCTGGTGGGTTGATCTGAACCTGCTTATCGTTTCCACTTGCTGGATTCACAGTTGAGTCACCTCCTCAATTGCTTTGCACAGGCCTTGAAAAGGAAACTTAACCCCCTTTTCATAATTTAAAAACTTAACCCTCTATTCACATAAGTATATGTGTTCTAAGATTTAAAATAATATGATTACTTTTCAGATTAATTCAGGTGCTCTATCTATCCTATATAATAAAAGCCTAATGTGCAAATCCATGAATGGCAGAATGACGGGGTGGAACGACTGGTCGCTATGATGCACACTGACCACCAGGGTGCAGACGCTCAACACAGGAGCTGCCCCCAGCCACAGGCCCCAGACCAGCCAAGGCAGGTGCCAGCAGCTCCCCCTCTCTGCCCCCTGCGCCTCCCCCACCATTGCCTGCCGGTTGCCCCACAGATTGGCCCTGATTGCAGGCCAGGCCTAGGGACCCTACCAGTGCATAATTTCATGCACTGGGCCTCTAGTTAGATTATAAATCCTCCCTCCCTATCATTTCCAGTGGTCGGCAAACTCATTAGTCAACAGAGCCAAATATCAACAGTACAACGATTGAAATTTCTTTTGAGAGCCAAATTTTTTAAACTTAAACTATGTAGGTAGGTACATTGTTATTAACTTAATTAGGGTACTCCTAAGCAATAAAAACGTCCTCAATCTGATAGAGGTATGTTTGCTGAGGTCCACCCCTTCCAACTCTCCCATCCACACTCGCCTTGTATACTTGTTTTGTCTATCTCCTTTCGTTCATCCTCTCTATATGTCCAAACCATCTCAACATACCTTTCTCAATCCTCGACACTACATCTTCTTTCACTCCACAACGTTCCCTAACATTAACTTAATAAACTTTACTTAAAGTTTTAAGTCTTAGTACGTTGAATAAAACTTGATATCATACTTAATAACGATATTATTTATTGATAAAATTAAATTCCTTACAATTTACCTTACAATATCCATGAAATTAAATCATAACAATGACTCTCTCGGGTCCTTGTTTCCAAGATGACCAAGAAAAGAAGGAATAATGGTCTTGCCAAAAAAGGCCGAGGCCATGTGCAGCCTATTCGTTGCACCAACTGCGCCCGGTGCGTGCCCAAGGACAAGGCCATTAAGAAGTTTGTCATTCGAAACATAGTGGAGGCCGTAGCCGTTCGGGACATCTCTGAAGTGAGTGTCGTTCTCATGAAGCCCGGAAGGACCGAACACCCCCACCCCGATTCAGACCTGCGGGTGCTGCCCCACGACCTCCACCAAAGCCCATGTAAGGGGCTGAGTCTTTAAAGAGTGAAGAAAAGTTCTCTGGGGGGGGGGGGGGGAATAAATGGAAATTGTATTTCAAAAATCAATCAATCAATCATGATAATGACTGACAAACACTAATGTGAACAATGGCCTTGCATCTCCTTGGAAAGTTTGGGTAAGTCAGGTTTGTATGTTGTTGTTTTTAACTTTAGGCACGATTCCAGGTTCTCATCAATAAGACGACTTCTGCGCACGGGCCACAAAGTTTCAATCACACTGTATGTGCGCGCCCGCACGAGGTATTTTGTGGAAGAGCCACACTCAAGGGGCCAAAGAGCCGCGTGTGGCTCGCGAGCCGCAGTATGCTGACCACTGTCCTAGAGCTTTCCATTGGCAAATGCTGCCTCCTGGAACTGAGGGACAAAGGTTTTGAAATAAGCCTTTGCTCCTTTGGCCATTTCATGTCCATCCCTTCTGGGGCTTATTGGATAACTTTGGGGCCTGGGAATAAAGTGTCCACTCTGGGCAAAGGGATGTGGTTGTGGGAGGGTGCGAGTGCCGCATTTACCAATGCCGCCATCTTGACTGGAAGCCCCATTTTAACCATTTTTAAGGGTGCACGTTAGTGGCATTAAATACATTTTCCTGTTGTGCGACCATCACCACTAGGACTCGTCTTTCTTTTCTTTTTCTTCTTCTTTTTTAAAAATCTTCACCCGAGGATATTTTCCCATTGATTCTTAGAGAGAGGAAAAGAGAGAGAAACATCGATGTCAAAGAAACACATCGGTTGGTTGCCTCCTGCACAAGCCTGGACCAGGGCCTCAGCCAGGGAGGAGCCTGCAACGAAGTACAAGCCCTTGACTGGGATCGAACCTGGGACCCTTTTGTCCTCAGGCCAATGCACTATCCACTGAGCCAAATTGGCCAGGGCAGGACTTGTCTTTCTTAAACCCAGAGGTTCTCTAGATGATGCCTAGGATCTGGAAATGACAGTTTAACATTTGCTAATAAAGCATAATAAATTTTACTTATTTTCAGAGATGAAGTATCCAAGACTCTGGAATTCTTCCCAGAACTTGGCAACATTTGAATTATCGTGTAGTGATTTAGAGCCAAACCTGCTGGGTGAGGTTTGGGTCTCCCACTAGCTCGTTGTATGACCTTGGGCAAATCTTTCTGTGTCTGAGTTCTCATGTCTTAAAAAAGGGGTCATTGGGTGACCTAGTGAACAAAGCATGCTTGACGCATAGTGATATACTGGTGAGTGTTAGGTATTGTTTTTGTTTTTAGAAATAATGTCTTCAAATTCTCTTTCCTGCTGGACTGAATGCACTGTGAGGGCAGAGACTGCATCAGTTTTGTCTACTGTTATTTGACTTCTTTGTAGATACCTCAGATTGGCTTATCTCTCAGCTCCTCCTCTGCCTCCTCCTCTTTTTCTTCTTCCTTTTTGCTTAAAAAATTTTTGTTGTTGTTGTTGTTAATTTGTAAATGGAGTTGTTGAGAAAAGATTAAGATGGGTGACTACTGTTCATGAGATTCTGGGTTTTATTAAGGGAACTTGGGGAAGGAAGTGGTTGGAAAATGGACATTTTTTTTTAAGACAAAGAAAAGGCTAGAACACTTAAATCCTGAGCTCTATAGTGTGCATCTGCCTTTAGGAGGTGCTGTTGATCAGGATTATCCTAATGCAAGCAAAGGGAAATGGGAAGGGAAAAGGCAGCGATGACATCAACAGGAAATTAATATTAAACCTGAGGGCCCAGTATTCATTGCAGTCAGCAGTAAGCAAGTCTGAAGTTTTCCTCCCGCGTAAATGGGAGCTTTCTTGAAACTTGGAGCCCAGAGAGGATCCTAATTCCTTTAAAACTTTGTTTTCAGGTAATTTCCCCAAGAACCACTTACTTCCAGAGGATCCGTGGCATCTGATTTGAAGGTATGTAGTTAACTACTTTCCTCTGCCGGGAGTCAGACAGTCCAGCATTTCCCCCTTGCTTTCTGTCATAGAAACTTGCAAAAACTCTTGTTTTCAGCAATGGCATGATTTCTGCCTGGATTTATTAGCCTCCCCATGGAAAATGAAAGTTTAAAAAGCCTTAGGAAGGCTTCGACACAGCCTTTTACCGGCAGGAATACGCTCGTCTCCATTCAGGAAGCGAGAGATTTAGGATCTTCAGGAAACTTCAAGGCAAATGTATAATGAGTTAGAATAAGAAGATCCCATGGATGACCCCATTTTTTTGTTTCCTTTTTCTAATAATAAAAGTAATATGTATTTATTGCGTAAGATTTGAGAAACTCACACAGGAGCCCAGAAGAAAATTTATATTTTATATAATTAGACCATCGAGATATAACCACTCTTTGTTATTGATGTTTCATTTTTGCTATGTTCTCTTTCCTTTAGAAAGTAGTTTCTTCTTTCTAAATAGCCATGTCTTGCATAGTGGATATATACCTTGTCCTTATATGATGAATAATATTACATTGAAAAATGTTGTCAATTTATTGATCCTCTTATTAGTATGAAATTTAGTGTAGAAAAGACCAGTTTATGCACTGCTTATGTGGAAATATTGACTTAGTTACTCTGTGACTTTCTATATTGATCTGAGCAACTCTTGTCTAAAACCTCCCTGTATTTCTGGGGTCTAGGATTATGATTATTCTTCCTGTGGGTTACAAACCTGTACTGTTCTGGTTAGTAATATTACCTTGCCATCCTTGGGTTGGTAAGCACTTCAGAAATATAACCCCCCATTGCTTTATTTCTAAACTGTGGGGCATAAATCTAAGTGCTAATTCTGCCATTTGATGGCAATGACTTAAGAGTTCTAACCAGACCCTGGCAGCTCGGCCTACGGTAGCTCAGTTGGTAGAATGTCCAACACCGAGGTTTCCAGTTCCATCTCCGGTCAGGGCACATACAAGAATCAACCAATGAATGCATAAATATGTGGAAAAAGTCGATGTTTCTCTCTCTCAAGATCAATAAATAAAAAAAAATTTTTTTTTAAAAAAGAGCTCCAACCGGAAGACGAACTCCAACGGAAACTGTTGTGCTGAGTTGTCCTCCATTTCACTCGCTTCTACGGGGACATTTTGATTTCAGAGAAGTCAGGGTAAATGGCATCCCCAAAAGCTCCCCGCAGACCTCCCAAAGGGTTCACACACAAGTGTTGGCTATTGGTTTTTGAAATAACTGCACAATCATTTTCCTGTCAGTAATGTTTAAGTTTCCAGGAAAGTCTAGTGCCCGGGAGGGAGGAGGCTGTAGGCGGGAGAGGGCCTGGGAAGTGGAGGCTACCCCGTCTCTCTGTCTTTTCCAGACTGGCCATGTCATCCGGCATTCAGAGTTGGATTCCCGGTCCGGAGGATAATGGTAGGGAGAAGCTGCGCAAAAGGCTTGTGCATATTGATTCAAACCTTGAAGACCTAGAGGTGCAAAAATTGAAGTTTCTCTGCCGAGACTTCGTCCCCAGCAGGAAGCTGGAGAAGGCCAGCTCGGCCTTGGATATTTTTGACCATCTCATTAACGAGGAGCGGCTGAGTGAGGAAGACCCCTTCCTCCTGGCGGAACTCCTCTACATCATGAAGCAGAACTTGCTGCTGAAGTACCTCAGCTACACCAAAGAGCAAGTGAAGGATCTGCTGCCCACCCGGAAGCAGGTCTCCCCGTTCAGGTGAGGAGGGGACTGCCATCAGGCAGAATGGGTGTCCAGTTAGGGGTCATTCAGGCCACTGGGCCTCAGAAGGAGACTGAGGTTTCCTCAAAGGATCTCACTAATATGTGGAATGTAATGAACCAAATACACCGATGATCAAAAATAGATCCAGAGACATAGAAGCATGAACCTCAGAGGGAAGGGGGTGGGGGTGGGGGGAGAGAACAAGCAAAGAACTTGTATGTATGGATGCATAACCCGTGGACACAGACAATGGGGTGGTGAGGGCCTAAGGTGCAGGGGACAGGAGCGGGCTGGAAAAGGTTAATGGGGGAAAAAGAAGGGCCTATGTCAGTGATGGCGAACCTTTTGAGCTCGGCGTGTCAGCATTTTGAAAAACCCTAACTTAACTCTAGTGCCGTGTCACATATAGAAATATTTTGATCTTTGCAGTCATAGTAAAACAAAGACTTATATTTTTGATATTTATTTTATATATTTAAATGCCATTTAACAAATAAAAATCAACCAAAAAAATGAGTTCGCGTGTCACCTCTGACACGTGTGTCATAGGTTCGCCATCACTGGCCTATGTAATACTTTCAACAATAAAGATTAAAAAAAAGAAGAAGAAGAAAGAAAGGAGACTGGGATTAAGATCTCTTGGGTCTCTTTCTTATGGACCTTCTTGGGTGTCTCTGATCAGCAACGCTAGGAGATTTCTCAGCTCTAGGTACCATGGAGCTGAAACGCTGGGATTCTCGGGCCTGGCAGTGGCTTCCCTCAGCTTCGTATCTCACTGCCACGGGAAGCCCACCCCAGCACAGCAGGCCCATGCGTTCCTCCTTCCCAGTCTGCAGGCCCTCAGACAGTCCTCTCGTGTGTCTGCCTATATTCAGTGATTTGAGAAGGAAAGAATGCATACTCAGCAGAGTGAAATGCCTCTGTGTGAGGGAGGGATGTCATTTAGGCGTGTCTGGTTACATGTTTTGGGTGAGAGAGGTAAAATACAGACATCAGGCCTGTCATGGTCAGACCACAGACACCACTGTTTTACATGGTCCCGGACATAGCTGCAGAGACCCTCACAAGGAGGAGCCTTCGAAGTGCGGTTTTATCGAATTGGCTGGGTGATTATGTCCTTCAGGCTTTAACATTCGGACTGGCTCCCAGAACCTGAGCTACCCTCGCTCAGCTCAGTGAGGGAATGCTGGAAATCTGCTGTTCAATGACAGAGGGCTGGTCTCTGGCGTGCAGAGGCATCAGTGTGTGAGCGAAATGTTTAGCTTTTCTGGTGATTCACTATATGACTACCCAGAAGTCGGGGTATTGTCCTTTCTCTTTCAAGAGTGGACTTGACATGGCTGGGCATCAGGTTCTCTGTGACAAGGGCCTGTAGAATAACCCAGAATTCCTCCAGTGGAGTTGGGAGTCGGAATGCCAAAATTGTGTTCTGTGCTTTCCTGGCACTAGACTTGGAACCAGAAGGCCTGTCCCTACTGTTTACTGTGTTACCATAATTTAAGAGGCCACTTTGAAGCTCAAAGTTTTAGTTTTTGAATCTATAAAGAGGGATTAATCACAGGGCTGTGGTCATGTACCTGAGAGAGAACATTTGTAGATGCACTCGATTCACAGTGCTGTCCTCTGCACGTGAGAGGCTTCATTTGACTCTTTGGTTGTGTGTGTCTTAGAAACCTGCTCTTTGAACTGTCAGAAGACATCGACTCAGAGAGCTTGAAGGGCATGATCTTCATTCTGAAGGAGTCCTTGCCGAAAGTCGAGACGCCGGTGAGTGGGTCACACAGAGCGGGGGGTCTCTGTGAGCATCGCTCTAATCTGCGTTTGGGAAGATGCTGGGGAGGGTTTTCAAGATGGTGTATTTTTTGCGGGAGACCATATCATCAAAGGTTAGGAATATCGACGTTGGTGTCGAACGGGCCTGGATTCTAGTGCTGGTTCTGCGACCAATTTCTCCATATGTGAGGCTATGATCGAAGATTTCTGCGTCTCCATTTTCTCATGTACCATGCCAGCTCCTTCCAGCACTGTTGAGGGGATTCAAGAAAATAATGTACACGAGGCATGAGCATAGGGCCCGTATTTGACAAACAGTAACCGTGCAGTAAGTGATTAACTGCTACTGACATCCACTATGTTTTATGATACAGAAATGAATGTTCAGGGCACAGCCAAGAAACGAGGAGGTGGGAAATAAAGGCAGAGCGGGACTCATCGCTCGTCACCTACACTAATCGAGGTGTCTGAGGGAACCGGGTGTCCTTTCCCGTGGACTTCACAGGGTCTCCCATGTAAGGTTTCTGTGGAAATCAAATGAAACAGTTTGAAGATGTGTTTTTTAAAGAGCTATATAGGTGCTTTGAACTAATAGTAATGCTTTTAATGTTAATATAATGCTCTTTGCTAATATTCTTACTGTATTGGCCATATTTGCTAATATTCTTGCTATATTGGCGGGGAGGTAGTTGCGTGTCTCTCTTCTGGGCCTCAGTACTTTATATTTTCTCTTTTGACTCCAATAGCAGCTTGTGGCAAGAAGTTAGTTGATTTCTGAAGGGACCAGTTTTCAAAGTTTACCCTGTAACATGACTCTGTGTTATTTACCTGCTCCTTTAATTAGATTCTAAGTTGTATAATATTTCATAACATACAAAAATACATGTGGCATATGGAAGTTATGAAATGTAGCCCTAAGCGAACAGCCATAAATTCCCCCATTCAACTTATGAATGAGAACCTCACCAATTCTCTGAGCCTTCATGTGCAGCCACCGTGTCACATTCTCTCTGAGCAACTGATACTAAATAACTTAAAAAAATAACCAAGGATTGGGAAGCTGTGATACATGTGGTAGGTCAAATGAACACCATGCTAGTAATTCATTAAATGGTGTGAGACCTATAGACCTGAGCAGGTTATGTCTCTGTTTTGGCCATAATCTTTGAGTCCTTTTTTTCCCTTTTCAGAGCCCTCAGGGACTTAAGCCTTTCGTGTCCTTAGATTGGTTATCTCTAGAGCAGCGGTTCTCAACTTGTGGGTCGCAACCCCTTTGGCGGTCCAACGACCCTTTCACAGGAGTCGTCTAAGATCTTCCTGCATATCAGATATTTACATTACGATTCGTAACAGTAGCAACGTTACAGTTATGAAGTAGCAAGGAAAATAATTTTATGGTTGGGTCACAATATGAGGAACTGTATTTAAAGGGCCAGAAGGTTGAGAACCACTGAACTAGAGGTCCTTTTCTCCCACAGATTGGTTGTGAGTTCCTTGGGGGTGGGGCTGAGCCTACTCATCATTATCACCCCAGAACCTTGTAATGCAATCTACCTCTTTCTCTTTCCTTTTGGAAAAAAAAAAAAAAGAGCCTGAACTTTCTGTTTATGTGATTTTACAATGAATAACTGGGGGAATTGGCAGGATAAACTAAACCTCCATGATGGGGGGTGCAAAGATATATTTATGACATTCTCGTTGTTGCCCCTTGTCAGAATTTTCTTCCTTAGAAACTTCCCTGGAAGTTTTGATAGCTTCCTGTTATTGTGTTATTTTTTTTACACTTTTTTGTTGTTGTTTTGTTGTTACCTGAGGACATTTTTTTCCATTGATTTTTAGAGAGAGTGGACACAGAGAGGGAAACTTCGATGTAAGAGAGAAACATCGATTGGTTGCCTCCAGCACACACCCTGATGGGTGGGAGGTGGGGGTTAGGGGGTAGGGGCAGGAATCGAGCCTACAACCGAGGTATGTGCCCTTGACTGGAATCGAACCTGAGACCCTTCAGTCTGTGGGCCAATGCTCTAACCATTGAGCCAAACTGGCTAGGGCTTTTCTTTCTTTCTTTTCTTGAAAAACATGCACCAAAATATAAGTACAGTAAAATGACACAAAACAAACATACATGAATGAATTATTATAAGGCTAATATCCTTGAAATCACTACCTAGGTTAAGAAATTGAACTTTGCTAGCCCTTCCAGAAACCCCTCCATGTGCCCCATCCCAATCACAGCCCCTTCCCCTCCCCTAGAAGCATCCACTGTCCTGGCTTTTATAGTAACCAGGGTCCTATGTCTCTTTATGGTTGTATCATCTACCTGTGCATCTCTAGCCCTCAATTTAGTCTTGTCCAGTTTTTTTCTTTGAAGTGTCCTTTAATCTATAGGTTAAACTCCCCTCCCACAATCCCTTTCTTTTGTTTAAAATGTGTTGACGACCCTGAGGACAATTGGCCCATGGAATTTCCCCTAGTCTAGGTTTTGCTAATGTGTGTGCTTGGTGCAGTGCAGCAAGCTCTTCTATCTTCTGCTTTTCCTGAAAATTGGCAACTGAATTCAGAGGCTTCGACAGACTCAGGTTAGAATCAGGGGTGGGCAAACTTTTTGACTTGAGGGCCACAATGGGTTCTTAAACTGGACCGGAGGGCCGGAACAAAAGCATGGATGGAGTGTTTGTGTGAACTAATATAAATTCAAAGTAAACATCATTACATAAAAGGGTACGGTCTTTTTTTTTTTTTTAGTTTTATTCATTTCAAACTGGCCGGATCCGGCCCGCGGGCCGTAGTTTGCCCACAGCTGGGTTAGATCCTTTTGACAAGAACATAGTGGTCTTTTGTTGCATCCTTTCATTGGGAGGAACAGAAATCTTGGTTTTCTCTCTCTTTTTTTTACTCCTCACCTGAGGACATGTTTCCATTGATTTGGGGGGGGGGGGGGGGGGGAGAGAGAGAGAGAGAGAGAGTGAGAGAGAGAGAGAGAGAGAAGCAACAACACTTTGATGTGAGAGAGAAACACTGATTGGCTGCCTCCTGTATGCGCCCCGCCGCCGCCTGGAAACTGAACCTGCAACCTGGGTGTGCACCGGGACCAAATCGAACCTGCCACCTCTTTGTGTACAGGACAGCGCTCCAACCAGCCGATCCACACTGGCCAGGGTCTCTCTTTTTTGATATTAGCAACTATTGATATTTAACGGTTTTATATATTGACTCTTTGGGGGTTGCAAATGGGATTTTTGAATTCTCTAATTTGTTTCCCCCTTGTCTATTTGGTTACCTGGTGATACAGTTTATATATAAATCCTAGATTCTTTTATTTACCCAGTGTTTATGATGACTGACTGGTTCCCTGTCATTCTCTGAACGTGACCCATTATAAAAAAAACAGTTTGAATTCATAGATTGAAACATATTTGGGTTTCAGTCTATTGCAATTATTACCCTCATTGAAGTTCACATTGTCCCATTTTTGCCCAGTGGTAACCTCTTCAAGTTGGCTCCTGTGTCATTTTTACATGAATTCAGTGTGATTATTTACAACAGTTGAAAATTTACTTTGCATGTACTATACCTATTATCTTCCCCCCCCTTTTTTGGTTGCAATATATCTACATTGTTAGAGTACATGGCCACATGTGTATATACTACACAATCTTTAACATTTTTATTTATTTTATGTTTACACTTTCTTTTAATCTTCATTTAGTTCTCTTTCTACAATTAAATATATATGTGTGGAAACCTAGAATACCCTACAAAGGTCATTTTTGTACCACTGGCCGGTAAAGAATTTATATCTCAGATTGAATTTTTTGCAATTGCAATTGCAGATAATGTAGCCTTATTAAGTCCTGGTATGGAAACTCACCAGCACTTAATAGACTGCATCATATACACACACTCCAATGAACTCGTCCTCATCCTTATGTTATTGCTCTAACTTCCTTCTTCTCTCTACTGCCAAACTGCTTGAAAGAATAGTCTCCACACACCCTTCCTCCACTCACTCAATTCTCGATCACATTCCATGCATCCCAGTATGCTACAGCTTTCATCACTCCAGCCATACTATTCCTGCTGAAGTCACCACACAAGCCCACATAAGCGGATTTTTAGTTTCTCATCATTGCCCCACATGGTTTTCTTTGCCTGGAATGTCCTTTTCCATGTTGGCAGTGAAGCATTAGTCATCCTCCAAGGTGCAAGTCAAGTCTCTCCTCCCATGGGCAGCTGTGTGAGGCCTGCTGTGTCGAATAGATGATACATTATTGAGTGGCATCAACATTTAAGTCATCTTTGACTCTTTCTTCACGTCTTCACCCACTTCCAATTGAACTTCAAAACTCACCAAATTGCAACTCAGAAATGGTCTCAAGTCCAGTGCCTCCTCTGCATTTCCACCACCAGGTCTTGATCATCTCTTCACCAGAGTATTTAGCCTTTCTGCCAATATTTTCTCTCGAATCCATTCCTTCTCCAACCTATTCCAAAGTCTCCTATTTATAAACAAATCTATTCATGTTACTGTTCTCAAAAACTACTATTGGTACCCCTTGGGCCATGGGACACTTGCCCAAATTTCTACATGGTGTGTGTGTGTGTTCTTTCACCGTCTCTTATCAGCCCATTGCTCCAGCCATGACCTGGCTCTCACCCATGGTTTGTGCTCAAAGCCTTCTTTTCAATATCCTGCACACACTGCCCCTTTTCGACTGTTCAACCATTCATCATGTCTAGAGACCTCTTCCCCAGATCCCACTCTGCTAATAGTGTTCACTTTCTGAATATTTTCTCTTTTCTGGGGGCTCTAGTATAATTTTGTTCATATATACTTTCTTTCAGAAGCAGCTTAATACATTGAGAAGCCCTAATCATTGAAAAGATTTGGTGGCTTCTATCCCCTATGTAATTCAGTATTAAAATAATACTAGCCAATTTGAGCTTTTCCCAGGAGTACTTATGAGATTTTTCTTTTAAAATACCAAATATAACATTCTTTCAAAAACATTTTATGCTCATTTCCTTGGTGCCTCTGTTTTGCTGCTGAGTTAAAGGTAGTACATACAGCTCAATGGTTAATGAAGGAGACTTCACTGCCACTTACTGGCTCTGTGACCTTGGACAAGTTGTCGACTCTGTGCTTCAGCTGTTTCATTTTTAAAAAATATATTTTATCGATTTTTTACAGAGAGGAAGGGAGAGGGATAGAGAGTTAGAAACATCGATGAGAGAGAAACATCGATCAGCTGCCCCCTGCACACTCCCCACTGGGGATGTGCCCGCAACCAAGGTACATGCCCTTGACCGGAATCGAACCTGGGACCCTTGAGTCTGCAGGCCGACGCTCTATCCGCTGAGCCAAACCGGTCAGGGCCAGCTGTTTCATTTTTAAAATGGAGATTGTAGTAGTATCTACCTCACTGAGTTGTTTTTGAGGTTAATATATGGCAGGCACTGAATGGCATGTAGTATTCAAGGTGTCTCAGAAAATGTATACACACTTTGAATAGTTATAAAGGCAGTGTTTATTAAGATACATTTCATTTTCAAAATGCAATTGAAATTAAAGACATGATGTGTATACATTTTGGGGGGAGACACCATATATACTAGTATACTGGCTTTTGATATGAATACAGATTTTATAGAGATTGACTTGGTCATACCTCTTCCCCCACACTATTGAACTACTCTGGGATAAACAACCTACGTTATTCATCCATGCAAAACCTGGTGCCTCATGGCCACGTAGGCAGTGTTTAATGAATGAATGGATAATCAGTAGGCAAGTAAATGTGACTCCATTAATTCTCTTGCAGACCTCTCTAAGTTTCCTGGAACATCTGGAGAAACAAGCTAAAATAGATGCAGATAATCTGATCTTACTGGAGGATCTCTGCAACACTTTTGCACCTCATCTTATGAGAAAGATAGAAAAATATAAAAGAGAGAAAGGTAACTAACTCATGCTTACTTGCTTGCAACAGACCATGGGAATTCTTAAATTAACTGGTCACATGTGATGTTATCAGTCTGATAATATTCTCTGGGAAAGCCAGAACTCTCCTGAGCTTGTTTATTCAACTCATTGATTGAGTGCATACTTTGTGCTAGACACAGTTTTAGAAGCTCCTCTTGGGAACTTGTATTCTAGTCGGAGGAAAGTACTTTTAGACAAATATCTTCTTCTTATTCTTATGTGGGAGTGAGAGTACAGGAAATCAGTTAGAATGAAATAACGAAAAAGGAGGCAGGATAGCACAGGGAGTATGCTATGGAGTCAGATTGCCAGGACACCATTTATTAGTGGTGCTGTGGCCCCTGCCTTAGCATTTCTACGCCTCACTTTCCCTATCTATAAAATGAGGTAATGATAGTACTCGCCTCATGGTTTTTCTTGAAGATATGAGTTTTATTGTATTTTAATTAATTTATTGTTAATCCTCATCCGAGGATATTTTCCCATTGATTTTTAGAGAGAGTGAAGGGAGGGGGAGAGACAGAGATAGAGAGAAACATCGATGTGAGAGAGACACATTGATTGGTTACCTCCCACATATGCCCCTACCAGGGCCGGCGATTGAGCCTGTAACCCAGGTACTCGCCCTTGATGGGGAATCAAACCCAGGGCCCTTCAGTCTGAGGGCTGACACTCTACCCACTGAGCCAAACCGGCTAGGACTTGAAGCTATGCATTTTCTAATTCCTATGAAACGCTTGTCTGGCACAGAATAAAGCATTCAATACATGTTTGTTGGAGAGGAGAGTCATGAAAACTTTCCTATGGTACTCTCAGAAATTACTATCAGAGAAGAAATTTATTATTCTACTTTTCTATTTTGAATAGGTAGGATTGCTTTGGTATAGAGGCAATAGCACAGGGCAGAAATCAAACCTGGCTGCCTCACCGTGTATCAACTTGTGAAAAGTTGTGTTTCTCTGGGTCTATTTCTCCACTGTTAAACAAGAGCTACGGATAAAAACTCCTGAGTATATTTGGAAGCCTCTAAGCCACACCCATATTTACTTAGGTGAATCAATCTAGTGTGCAAATTTCTGTTGTTGAAAATGAAACTAGCCAAAAGGAAACTCCTCTCTAAGAATTCTCTAAATACAAGGTGAACTTTGGAACAAAATATATTGTTGTTAAAATGATAAACTCTCAAACCACAACTACAACAATGAATGAATGTATAATTTAAGTAAAAGTTATGAAGAAAAAAATGCAGGTCTTCTAACGAGCAGAGTATCAAGTGAGAAATAAAAAGCAGGAAGTTGATGTCGAAAGTATATTTGGAATCCTCGTCTGAACTCTGAGGTTTTGTTTTCCGATCACATTGCCATTTTCTTGTCATGTACCCGACACGAGGTAAACACAGGGCAGGTGGGCAGAACTCTAGTTTTCATGTAGTAAGTGCCTCCCTGAGTCTTGTGGGCTGAGCTTTAGATCAGAAGAATTCTAATTTTGACTTTTCTTTTCCACAACCTACCTGCTGTGTAGTCTCCTTTGGGTTTTGAAAGAAAAACTCGTGTTTACTTCTACTAGCCCACCAGCACCCCAGGAACACCTCTGACCCCAGCTGTGTGGGGTTTTCCAGACCCAACAATTCTCTGTGGACACCAACTGTGTGTCCCACATTTGACTCACTTTTGACACGAACCAGAGTTAGCACAGACCCTAACTCCATTAGTGAAGGTCTCAGGCCCCCAAGACTGCCCCCCCTTCAGATGCCAATTACAAGTAGTGGGTCCCCAGAGTACGAACAGCATCTGTCCGATTTGGGTACAAGCCGGTGGGTCTCATAATCCCCACCTCAGGTTCAATAATTGGCTAGAATGGCTCCAGGACTCTGGAAACCTGAGTCCTTGCTAGATGACTGGATTATCAGGAAAAGAAACAGCCAAGCAGAAGAGATGCATAGGGTGAGGCGGGGGAAGGACCATGGCGCTCCCAGGCTCTCTGGAGGCAGTTCACCGTCCCCACACCTCCATGTTCACCAACCTGGAAGCCCTGTCCCATTTGTATCTGATTAGGACAGAAGCTCTGCTTAAGAACCACCAGGAGATCTTCCTCAGTTTTCTTGAGACTTGGTGTGACTTAGTATTTTAAAATTATTATTAAAATATGTGTAATAATTATAATAAAAATTAAAATTGAATAATGACAACAATACAGAGTATAGAAGGTAAAAGTCTCTCTCTTCTCCTTCCTCCACTGACAGCCCATACCCCAGAGATAACCACTGTTTGGAGTATGTTTTTGTAGCCTTTCTTTTTTTTAAATTTAATTTAATTTACATTTTAAAAATATATTTTTTATTGTTGATAGCATTACAGATATCTCCCATTTCCCCCCTCTTTACCCACTTCCTCCTAGCCCCTCCCCTCCCCCTAAGTCAGTGATGGCGAACCTATGACATGCGTGTCAGAGGTGACACGCAAACTCATTTTTTTGGTTGATTTTTCTTTGTTAAATGGCATTTAAATATATAAAATAAATATCAAAAATATAAATCTTTGTTTTACTATGGTTGCAAAGATCAAAAAATTTCTATATGTGACACGGCACCAGAGTTAAGTTAGGGTTTTTCAAAATGCTGACACGCCGAGCTCAGAAGGTTCGCCATCACCGCCCTAGGTCTTCACCACCCTATTGCCCATGTCCATAGGCTACGCATATAAGTATATAAGTTCTTTGGTTTATCTCTTCTCATCCCCCCACCCCACATTGAGGTATGTCAGCCTGTTCTCTGTCTCCATGCTTTGGGTCCTATTTTGTTGGTCAATTAATTTTTTTTATTAGATTCCTCATGTAGCCTTTCTTCTTTATAGAGACAATTGTGTGTGTGTGTGTGTGTGTGTGTGTGTGAAGATTAATATATATTTAAATAAGATCATGCTAATCATATTCCATACTTTACTTTATTCTTACCCAATATATCTGACATTTTCCCATAGCTCATTCTTATTAATGGTTCCACAGAAAATACATTTGATGTACATATCATATTTATTTAATTACCACTTTATAAAGCTGTGGTACATTTACACAATGGAATACTACACAGCTGTAAAAAAGAAGGAAATCTTACCCTTTTTGACAGCATGGATGGACCAGGAGAGTGTGATCTTAAGCCAGTCAGAGAAAGACAAATACAATATGATCTCACTAAAACGTGGAATCTAATGAACAAAACAAACTGATGAACAAAATGGATACATGGAATAGACTGGCTGGTGCCCGAGGGAGGGGGCTAGGAGTGACTGGATAAAGAGTGAAGGGATTAGCTAAAGAACATATATGCATGGACATGGACAACAGTGTGGTGAAGGCCAAGGGAGGGGCAGAGGAGGGGTGGAGGTGGGCAAAGGGCGGGAAAGGGGGACACCTGCAACAATGTCAACATTAAAAATGTTTAATAAAAAATGTATTAAAAACTAAACATTGACCTAAGAAAAAGGATTTTCTTTTTTTCTCTTTCTTCTTTCCCCTTCCTTATTTCTTTCTTTCCTTCCTTTTCTTTCCTTTCTTGTTCTTTTCTTTCCTGTTTTTCTTTTCCTTTTTCTTCTTTTTCTTTTAGTTATTATAGTCCGAGTTCTGGCTTTGATGCTGAGGCAATGCTTTTGTAATCTCTAGATGGCAATTATCTGATGTTGTAAGCACCATATGTTTAGAAATGGTATCTGGTAAAGTATATAGTAAATTTTAAGAACTAACAAAATTATTAAAATAATAAAAACAAAAAACAATAAGAAATAAAATAATACCAGGACTGAAAATAAAATGGTAAATAAAAATAATTTATAAGTTCACTTTTTCTTCTGAGTATATATATGTAGATCTCTTTAAGCAAATGGCATTACAAATTTATAGGTTTCTGTAAAATAATTTCTTTTGCTGATTCGTTACCTTGAACTGCTGCTGGTCAGATTGTTGTTTTCCGATCTGTGATTCTATTTGCTGCCTCCTAGGTAGTAACATTTCCTTAGATCAGGAAAGTGAATCATTGCCTTAAGGAGAGGGAGAAATAACTATTTTTTACTCTGTCTAGAGTAAATGTCAGCCTTGTTTAGAATATTCAAGTATAAAAAATAAAAAATTTTATACCTATGACTGTTAAGAAAAAGTTCATTGTTCTGAGAATACTACTAAGTCACTGAATTAAAATTTCCCTTGAGATGTGAATTACCTAAAATTTCATATCTTTAATATTCAAATGTTCATGGTTATTTTCTTAGAAATATTTTATAAATTGATATTAGAAAGAGGAAGGGAGGGGTGGGGAGGGATGGAGGGAGAGAGAGAGAAATATCCATGTGAGAGAGAAACATCTCTCACTCACCCCGACCAGGGATCAAACCCACAACCTGGGTATGTGCCCTGACGGGGAATCGAACCCTCTGCCTTTTAGTGTATGTTCCAACCAACTGAGCCACACTGGCCATGGAAAGAAATACTTTTAATAAGATGATTCAATCTTATTATTTTTTACTCTGGAATACAGAGTTTTAAGCAGCAAGTACGTAATACATCCTAGTGAATATACTGTGATAACACCTAAGTTCAAAGGCACTTATCTCTAGAAAAAAGGTGTATATACTTGGATGTTTTTACTTTTAAACATATTTTGTCTCATCACAATAATACAGGAACCACAATAAGGCATACTGAAGCATGGAAGGCCATCATCTATAATAAAAAAGCATAATATGCTAATTAGACTGGACATCCTTCCGCACGACTTTCCGGATGAAGCCAGGGCTGTGAGGGAAGCCGGTGCCGGCAAACAGGGGAAGGAAGGCCTACTCTTGCATGAATTTTGTGCATCGGGCCTCTGGTGTTATATAAAATTTGATACAAAAACTTAGGATCATGTTATAAATTAGATAATCATGTCAAAAATGTAAAAGTCCTATAAACTTGAAAGGTTAGAGCTTCAGGTACATAATACATTTTAAAATATAGTCCCCCAATTTTCCTATTGGTTGAAATAGGATTCCAGGAAACCTTTGTAAGGGCTTGTCCTGATGGCAGAAACATAATGTCGGCAGGCGATGCAGAAACTTCTCCGAAAAGTGCAGCTTGCTTAAGAGGCCCCTGTGCAGAAACGGCTGCGAGGCTCTGCTTTTTTAACATCTGAGCCCAGTGAGCCACCAAGAGCCCTTCTTACTCCTCAATGTTCACACTTCCTTCAAAAGCGAAAGAAAATGTCACTCATTGAAGCCTTGATTTTAGCAATAGTTTCACCACCTGTTGACAATTGGTATACCTGACACCATTGCTGACCACTTACCTCATGAGCTTCATCTTAAACTCCTGTAATTCAGCATTAGAAATTGCACCTGCTTTGGCAATCACTGGTATCATGCTCACCTTGTTGTCAAGGCTCTTCATGGTTAAGAGATCAAGTGTCTTCAGAGAGTGGCCCCTTGGTGAGATGAGGCAGAGGCCCGCATGGGTCTGAGGAGAGTGGTAGTTGAACCATGAACCTCCTGGTTCATGGGTCAATGCTCAACCACTGAGACACACCAGCCAGGTGAAAGTCTTTGAAGAGATGATGCTTAATCTTCAGTTCTTCTTGGAGCCAGGCCTCAAAATGAGCATCTATGCAGTCACTGCTGGTTGGTATGTCTCTTCTTTGTTTATCTGGTCACCAAGTCCCACTGTACTCACAATGGCCAATTGTAATTGAACATTACTTTATTGGAGTTCATATGCCTGAATTTTAGGTCTAACGTGGGTAAAATTCGAGGATTTACGGTCTTCAAAATTACTAATAATGTATTAATCAGCATTGATTTTCCAATTTCAGTCTCCTCAACACAGAGATTATTAAAACAGAAGCCTTGCTGAATGGATCTATTGACCAGCTGATGAGGCAAACTCTGAAAAGCAACGTAGCCAGACATCGTTAAAAAACGAATATTTTCTATTTTTTTGCAGAAGCTGAGCAAAACGAGGAAGAACTACTTTCTGCTTCAAACATTAATCAAATCCGTCAAGCCTTACCAGAAATTTCATCGGTATGTTGGTAAATGTTTGACCACCAGCTCTGCTCTCCACCCCCAGTCTCCAAGAAAGAGAGAGAGATAGAGACACCGATTTCCATCTGATTTCCAGTTACTAATAGGATATCAACTGTATTGCAGAATTTAAAAAATCTAACACTAGCTCTCACTTAGCTGGCTTGAGCTGACTCCAGGGCACTACTGTGTTGTGCTGTGCCATCTACTCTTATCTCTGGCGTCCAATCAGGGCTGGCCTCATGGGCATACAGCCTGTGCAATCACATACAGCCCAGGCTTTTTTAATGCTTTTTCACTGTCTTGAAATTATTTTTTTTAATGTTAAAAAAATTTCTTTTTAATTTTAGAGAGAGAGTGAGAAGGACAGAGAGATAGAAACATTGAGAGAGAGAGAGAGAGAGAGAAACACTGATGAAAGAGAAACATCCATCTGCTGCTTCCTGCAAGCCCCCTACTGGAAATTGAGCCTGAAACCTGGTCATGTGCCCTGACTGGGAATCTAACCGTGACTTCCTGGTTCATGGGTCGATGCTCAACCGCTGAGACACACCAGGCAGGTGAAATTCTTGGTTTATTTTAATCCTCACCTGAGGATATGTTTGCATTGATTTTTAGAGAGAGAGGAAGAGAGAGAGAGAGAGAGAGAGAGAGAGAGAGAGAGAGAGAGAGAAGATTGGTTGCCTCCAATATGTGCCTGGACCTCAGATCTAGCCTGCAACCTAGGTATGTGCCCTGACTGGGAATTGAACCTGTATTTATTGGTCGACTGCCAATGTTCCATCCAACTGAGCCACACTGGCCAGGGCTGTTTTGAAATTCTTAATAATGTATAGCTGTTGTTTTGCACTAGGCCCCACAAATTAGGTAACCAGACCTCCCCAGCGGACAAGAACGGAGTTTCTGTGGTGCCCAGCAACGGGAGGGTGGGAGAGAGGGAAACACGGGGGAATCTGCAATCTGTTCGTCACGACGTGAGCGAGACCGTTGGTAGACAGATGACGCTCTTCCCGGGCTTTGTTTCTTTCCAGCAGACGCGGGCAGTTCTATTTTGCCAAACTCTGTAACTCTGTTGGCATCAGTGAAGTTAGCTTGGCCTTGGAAATTTTTGTTTTTGTTTGTAATTGTGGTAAAATACAAATATCATAAAATTTATCATCTTAACCATTTTTAAAAAATATCTTTTTATTGATTTCAGAGAGAAAGGGAGTGGGGGGGGGAGAGACGGAGACATCAATGATGAGAGAGAATCACCGATTGGCTGCTTCTAGCACACCCCCCACTGGGAGTCAAGCCTGCGCACAGGGCATGTGCCTGACCGGAAGCAAACTGTGGTCTCCCAGTTTGTGGATCAACGCTCAACCACGGAGCCACGGGGGCCAGGCATATCATCTTAACCATTTTTAATGTACAGTTCAGTGCTGTTAGGTACACTCACATGGCTGTGTAACCAAACTCCTTCTCGAACTCTTTTTATTTTGTAAAACTTAAACTTTGTAGCCACTAAACAATAGCTTCTCATTTCCCACTCCTACCAGCTCTTAGCAAACACCCTTCTACTTTCTGTCTCTATGAACTTGACTACTCTAGGTACCTCATAGACTAGTAAACGGAGTCATACAATATTTGCCTTTTTGTGACTGGCTTATTTCGTTTCATGTATAATGTCCTCAACGTTCATCCATGTTAGAATTTTCTTCCTTTTAAAGGTTGAATAATGTTCTATTGTGTGGATAGCCCACACTTCGTTTATCCGCACCCACTGATGGCTACGTGGGTTGCTTCCACCTTTTGGCGACTGTGAATGATGCTGCTATGACCGTAGTACAAATATCTCCTCTAGATCCTGCTTTCAGTCCTTTTGGGTGTTTACCCAGAAGTGGAGTTGCTGGATCTTAGGGTCATTCTGTATTTCATCTTTTGAGGAACCACCATACTGTTTTCCACAGCAGCGGCATCCTTTCTGCCAATCATACACAAAGGATCCAGTTTCCCCACATCTTCGCCAGCACTTATTTTCCCGGTTTTTGACAGTAGCCATCCAAATGGGCTTGAGGTGGTATCTCGTTGTGGTTTCGATTCTCATTGCTTCGCTCATGATTAGTGATGTTGGGCATCCTTTCGTGTGCTTGTTGGCCATTTGTATGTCTTCTTTGGATAAATGGGTTGTTTTTAAATTGGGTTGTTTGTGGAAATTTTATTTTTTATTTAAAAAATTTTTCCATAGAGTTCCAGTCAAGATGATGGTGTAAGTAGACATGATATTCAGAACCTCTCACAACCACATCAAAATTACAACTAAGTTACAGAGCAACCATCATTCAGAATGCCTGAAATTAGCTGAACTGAAGTCCTGTAACTAAGGATATATAGAGGGAGCCACGTTGAGACTGGTAGGAAGGGTGGAGACATGGAACAGCCTGGTCCCACTCCCACATGTGGCACTTAAAAACCAGGAGGTATATCTCAACTGTGGAGGTCCCCTCTGAAAATACAGGAGTCCCAGCACAACAGCAGGGCCCCCAGCCCAGGGTTCCAGTGCTGGGAGGACAAGGCCCCGTCACTTCCAGCTGTGAAAACTAGTGGCTGAGTGAGACGAAGGGCTCCGGAGTCCCAGGCATGGTGCATGAAGGCCCCACACACTGACTCACTCGGGCTCCCTTGCTCTGAAAATTCTCGCCACTGTGTCTTCGTGGACCCTTCCCCTTTGGAAGAAGGGAGTTGATTCTCTTCTTGTCACTTTCCAGTGGCCTTTTCTATGGCTGGAGATGAGGCATCTGTCCTTTTCTGCATCACATCACTTTTTGGTAACATTTACATTTCAGGTTCATTGTAAGGGATACAACTCAAGAACATCCATATGGAAGAGATCCATAGGGCAAGAGATGAGAGGTGGGAGTGGCAGGGAGCTTCCGTACCTTCTCAGGGCACACCCCCTCAATGTGTTTGCCAACCCAGCAAGTCTAGATTTTCAACTCTCCTCCTAACTCTGTGAATTTCCTGCACTTCTTCTTTCCTCAACATGAGGGGACTTGGCAAGATGAGCTTGCAAGGAGTAATGGTAGATGTTCCCAATGCACTTTTTATAACTTGGATCAGGATGGCACAAAGAGATATATTTTACATATAGCAAGTTATTCACTGTGACTTGGGAGAAGGTTTACAGATTAGTGGAGAATTCATTTCTTATCTCAATTCAGAGCGAGCCAATGAACGCATGGATTATACCAGGCTTTTCTATGGGAGGGTGAAGAGGTGGCTTCCACTTGGAAAGCCCGACATAACAGCTTCCGGGGAATGCAAGCAACCCTTCAGAATTCGGACACCCTCTGTGAGGAGGGAGGGAACCTCTGGTGGCCCTGAGGCGCCAGGCTAGCAGGGACAGAGTGGGATGTTGAGTCTGAGGATGTCTGCTATGGTGCTGCCTGCAGAGGGAGAGAGGCCAGAGGGAGGGGCTCGGCAATGGTGTGTGTATTTCCTTGAATCCTTGCCCAGAAACCATAACCTCAGGGAAATATTTCAGGCTCTGCCATTGGGAGAACCCGCTTGTGAACAAACTGGTTATTGGTTCCACACGCTCCACTTCCCCAGGAATCTTAGCTGGGAGGTTATGTGATATGGTGTTGGTGAGAATTAACCATTATTGAGTATGTGTCATGTGCTAGGCCAGTGATGGCGAACCTATGACACACGTGTCAGAGGTGACACGCGAACTCATTTTTTGGTTGATTTTTCTTTGTTAAATGGCATTTAAATATATAAAATAAATATCAAAAATATAAGTCTTTGTTTTACTATAGTTGCAAATATCAAAAAATTTCTATATGTGACACGGCACCAGAGTTAAGTTAGGGTTTTTCAAAATGCTGGCACGCCGAGCTCAAAAGGTTCGCCACCACTGCGCTAGGCACTGTTCTAAGAGCTTTCTAGGGCTTATCTCATTTAATTCTTCAATCACATTATCACTGAATGATGAGGAAACCGAGACCCAAGAGGCCAAGTACTTTGCTGAAAGCCAAAGTGGCTAGAAAGGAATGGAGCTGGAGTTTGGCAGTCTGACCCCAGAGCTTGCCCTCCAAACACCCGGCTTCACTGGGTAGCTGCGGGAGCTCAGGCAACGGCTTTACTTCTTTGATAAGTAAACAAGTTTCTTTCAGTTTTGCAATTCTGCGGTTTCCCAGTTAAAACATGGCTCCCTGGGACCTCACCTTCTCCAAGGTGAGGAGGAATGCGCAGGTGCACCTCTTTGTATGACAGCAGCTGGGGTCCTTTTCAGTGTGTTTTCTGGTCTGGTGTATACTAGACTTGCTCAGCCTGAGGTGAGCACCCAGGACAGACCCTTCATCTTAACCATAGTTAATAACTGACTCAGAGGCTGGGGCGGAGCTCGCCAGATTCTACTGAAGTCTGGCTGGTGGGCCAAGAAAAGTTTCAAGAGATATTTTCCTGTTATTGTTCTGGGACAACTCATTCTTGGCTTCCTCTTTATGATGGATCCTTAGTCAGAGGAACCAGGGAGTTTGCAGAAACCCTTCAAAGCACTGCAGTCCTCAGCCAATGCCAAAACCCTGACTAAGTAATCCCAGGGCTATGGACTGATTTTTGTCTTTCCCAGACTGAGTCTCTGAGCCTTTTTTCTTTAATTTTTAAAATTGATTTTATTTATGTTTATTTTATTGTTGACAGTATTATAGATGTCCCCCATTTCTCATCCTTTACCCCCTTCCTCCCAGTCCCTGCCCCACTGCAGGCCTTCTCCACACTATTGTCTGTGTCCATTGGTTGTGCATATACGCATGAGTTCTTTGGTAAATCTCTTCCCATCTCCCACTTTCTTCTCCTTCGTATCTGCTCAGTGACTGTACCCAAACAAGCTTTCTAACAGAAATATTTGATCTGATTCATGTGGTATTGACTCTCAACTCACCTTGTGTAAGGATATCTAAGTGAGGAGATAATATTTGAAGAAAATAAGTATTTCTCTTTCTTGGTGACCAAGTAACCCTGGTCTCTATGGAGATGTTGGGACCATCTGCTTACAGTCTAACTTCTGGAACCAGCACAAAGGTCTGGACAATTTCTTTGGGAGAGTTTCCAACTGGGGTCTCACCCTTAGTGGCTTTGAGGGCTCAAAGTTCTTTGTGTCTGTCTTGGATCTTCTTCCTCTTTCTGTGATCATCTCTGTCCTTCCTACCTTTCTTTATAACCTTCAGAAGTGTGCTGACACTTGCTATGGAGGGGACACTATTGCCCTTTCAGTCACACATACTTTTTTAAAAAAATATATTTTATTGATTTTTTACAGAGAGGAAGGGAGAGAGATAGAGAGTTATAAACATCGATGAGAGAGAAACATCGATCAGCTGCCTCCTGCACATCTCCCACTGGGGATGTGCCCGCAACCAAGGTACATGCCCTTGACCGGAATCGAACCTGGGACCTTTCAGTCCGCAGGCCGACGCTCTATGCACTGAGCCAAACCGGTTTTGGCAGTCACACATACTTTTAAAATTATTTCCAGAAAGGGAATTTCTTTTTTATCTACTGATGCCACTTCTTTTCCATTTGGATTCAAGCTGTACCATGTTTTCAGGAAATCATTTTAGCCACACAGAGGCCCTGATGAAGCCAACTCAGATAATTTATAATCATAGGCTGTTTGTGATAGCCTTCAGAAATAATTGCATACATTTTAAAATCCCCACTGTGATTGCTACCAAAGAGATTTCTCTGGTTTTGGAGAAAACAGATCACTGAATCCTACCATCTGAAAAAAATTATCATTTGATATTTTTGTTGTCTTGTTAGGTCCTTACCTATGCTTTCTTCACTTTGCTAATCCAAAAAGGAAGATGCTTTTGCATAAACCCTGGGTTTTCCAAAGTTAAAAAACATACTCTGTTATTTGACACTGAGAATAGACATTTTGCAATTAAACCAGGTGAAGTCTGAATTTTAGTCAGGGCCTGGCCATTGATTAATTCCAGACCAGACCCAGGATCTTGAGAATTCTCTGCCTTTAGTATCAATAAATGGAGTGGTTGGTTAGAAGCATTAAACTCTTAAAGTGAAGATTCTCTAATAAGTGGTTCCATCTCTTCTTCTTTCAAGGAGGAAACTGTGTACAGGATGGATCATGAACATAGAGGCTACTGTGTTGTTATCAACAACCAGAACTTTACCTCACTGTCAAAAAGACAAGGGACTGATAAAGACGCTGGTAAGAAAGGCTGTAATAGAATATCGAATGGAAGCTGGGGATCTTAAAATCATTTTTCATTTTCATATTTTCTTTCTGTAATTTTTAATCTTCCATTTAATGTAAGGATGATGTTACAAATGTTTCAAAGCCTCCTATACACGCCTAGTGTTTTAGTCTATCTAGGCTGCCATATCAAACAACCAAGACTGGGTGGCTTATAACCAACCAATCTGTATTTCTCATGGTTCTGAAGGCTGGGACGTCTAAGATCAAGGCTATGGGGTTTCAGTGTCTGGTGAGAGTGTGGTTCCTACATGGCTATCTTCTCACTGTAACCTCACTTGGGGTTTCTTTATGGGCTCAACCCTCATGGCCTAAGCACCTCTCGAAGGCCCCCATTTCTAATGCCCATACCTTGAGGGTTAGGATTTCAACATGTGAATTTTGGGGAGACACAAACTTTTAGACCATAGCACCTGGGATGTCAGCAACCTGCTTACAGCGTGAAAAGGGCCCCTGACCACATATGATTATGTGATGTAGGCGCGGGCATGCTGGGTCAGTTTGAGAAAACCTGTGTTTGAGCTCTGGCTCTACCACTATCTGGGATTTGTGACCACGGGAGAGTCACAGAGCCTCAGCTCCTCACCCATGAAGGAGAATGGACTCTGGCCTCTGCTCACTCGCAGGGCCATTGTGATAGCACTGTGGGTGCTATAAAAAGGCAGGTTAATTATAAAATTTTATTGTTATGAAAGTAAAACATAATCCAAAGTTTCAGGATATTTGCTGTGCAATTTGTATAACTATTTGCATTGTTTGACCCCTTTTATTTCATTTTGCTCTATTTTATGTCATCATTCATCCCCCCACTTTTTTTTTTTAACAGAGTGCCTGAAGCATGTGTTCCAGTGGCTTGGATTCAACGTAGATATGCGGGTTGATGTAACTAAAGAACGCCTGGACGAAATTCTGCAAGAATATAAGAGCCATCCAGACCATGCCGACGGAGACTGTTTTGTGTTCTGTTTTCTGACCCACGGGCAACTTGCAAGTGTCTACTCTTCAGACGAGGCCCTCATTCCCATCTGGGAGATCATGTCTCACTTTACGGCCCAGCAGTGCCCTGGTCTGGCTAACAAACCCAAACTCTTTTTCATCCAGGCCTGTCAAGGAGGAGAGATACAATCTTCTGTATCCATTGAAGCAGATGCTGTAAATCCCGAGTCAGGAAATTCTCCCCCTAAGAACACTATTCCTGCGGAAGCAGATTTCCTTCTTGGCCTGTCCACTGTCCCCGGCTACGTATCTTTTCGTCACAAGACAGAGGGGAGCTGGTATATTCAATCTCTGTATAACTGTTTGAAGAAATTGGTCCCAAGGTAAGAGTTTCACATTGTTCTATCCACCTACCTGTTTATCCATCCATCTATTCACCTACCCGTCCATCCCTCCATTCATCCATCCATCCATCCATCCATCCATCCAACAAACCTGTATTGAGAACCAACATATAGCTGGAAACGAAGATATGGAATAAAAAAAAGACACAGTCCTGGTCCTCACGCTGCTCACAACTAGAGGGACTGACAAGCAGATGGGGAAGAGCATGCCCCTGTGGTAGACATATACTGTAGAGCACAGGTGTTATGGGAACACATAGAACTGGTACCTCACCCAGATTTGGAGGACCAGGGGAAACTTCTAACTGCGGTGAAAGACGTGTTGAGCAGAGGGCGCAGCATATATAAAAGCATGGGGGCCTTTAATGTGTTCCTTCCTTTATTAATTTATTAGTCACGCATATTTAGTGAGTGCCTATGTGCTGCCTGTGGGCCATATGCTTGGTCTTCTGCCTTTGCTCTGACAACTGTCCTTCTGCCTCTGCCACATGCTCCTTACCTGGTTTCCTGGAAATGAGCCTTCACCAAGGTTCTGCCCTGGACCGCCCCCCCCCCTCTCCCCTCCCCTCCCCTCCCCTTCTCTCCCCTCCCTGGGTAGTTTTCGCTATCCCCGGAGGCCACTAGGCATCTCCATAGAAATGGCTCCCAAATTGCCATCTCTGAGTTCTGCCATCTCTGAAGTTTAGCTTCATCCAATTTTATGTCCTCAGCGCCTGGCATAGTATCTGACGTATTGTTGAGCTTGGTAACTCTTTGCTGCACCAATGAATGAGTGACCAAGTCAACCTCATTCTGAAGGTCATTCTTACACATTTTCACAACCTGCCAGACACCCTACCTTTGCGTTGCCCTCGGACCTCACATCCCGTATGAACATCCTGAATCCATCTGCTCAGCCCGCTCCGGGAGCTCCTACTCCCGAGTGCCATCTCTGGAAATGGCCACGATGTTCTGGGAATTTAAGATAGCGAATCCGGATTGGAGCCTCGAGGGACCTAAGCTTTTCTCTCTCTTTTGCCAACCTCTCCATCCGCACCATAGCCGTCAGAGACCGAAGTCCTGCGGCTTCAGGGACGAGGCAATACTTTACCGAGGGACACTGTGTGCCTGCTAGACCGGACTGAGCTAGGGGCGAGGGAGGTGGCTGTAAATCAGAGACAAAAACCTCTTCTCCGGGTTCCGGTCGCTGGGCCGAGGGAAGAGCGGAGGGAAGGGCGGGCAGCACCGGCACCAGATGCGGAGCGGGAGGGGGGCGGGGCGGGGTGGGCGGGGGCGCGGGAGCTACCACGCCAGCCGCCCCGGACATCCATGAGGACCATGATTCCTGCATGGAGGAGGCAGCCGAATCCAACCGCGACCCCCAGTTTGAGCCCGTGGTTTCCCTTCCTGAGCAAGAAATGAAAGCCCGGGACGAAGATGAAGAGGAACGTTTCCAAATGCGGCCAAAGCTGTTTCGATTCGCTTCCGAGAACCATCGGCCAGCCTCCGAGCACCGAGGGAAGGAGGCCCGGCGACGCCCAGCTCCCGAAGCAGAAGGAAAGGGACATCGCCTCCTCCCGCGGGGGGACCGGACCTTGAAGACACGCGCCCACCGCTCTCTCCCCTCCCCATCCAGCGACGGGGCCGAACCAGAACCAGAACCAGCGCCGGCAGGGACCGCGCCGGGCACGGAACACCCAGGCCCCTTGCGGATGAGCGCCCCACGCCATGCGCTTCCTCGATGCTGAACCTGCACGGAAACCTGCACGGAAACCGAGACGAAGCTTGAAGAACGCAGGGCAGAGAGGGAAGGGAGGAGGACTGGGCAGGAGCGATAGTGCCGAGATCTTAGAGGCCGGAAAGCCAGAAGGTCTTTCGGTGGAGGAGACTCGGGAGAAAGCCGAGGAGAAGCAATAAGCCCTCTGCCCTTGTTTTCTGTTCCTTTTTTTTTTTTAAACATATTTTTATTTATTTCAGAGAGGAAGAGAGAGAGAAATATTAATGATGAGAGAGAATCCCCGATTGGCTGCCCTCTGCACGCCCCACACTGGGGCCTGAGCCCTCAGCCCGGGCATGTGCCTGCCTGGGAATGGAACCGTGACCTCCCAACCCACAGGTCAACGCTCCACCACCCAACCACGCCCACTGGGCTCCTTTTTCCTTTTTTAAAAATTTGCCCCCCCCTTCTTTTCCGTTTGTTTTTGTGAGGGACTTTATATAAAGAACTGAATCCCAACATTCAGGTGTTCTGGTCGTTTGGAAGTTTTTGCCCTATTGGAGACCCCCCGTCATGAAAATGCACTGTGCGAACTTTCTTTTCCATCGTGGGAACACTCATTTATAGTCATCACACATAGTGAATAAGCAACTCATTCGAAAACTTAAAAAAAGAAATCCCTTCTCCATGTAGCGTACAGTCCAGTAAGAGGTAGACATATAATAAAACTGTAAGTAAATGAGAATTTAAGTTAATAAGATAATTTTAGAAGTGATGCCTGCTACAAAGAAAGCAAAACAGGATCATGATATGGGGGGAGGAGGGCAAGGAGGTGCTTGAGAAGGCTTCTTGGGAGAGGTGATCCTGGGAGTGGCTGAATGCTGAGGAGTCAGCCACAGCAAGATTTCAGGAGAGAGAGAACAGCAGGGTGGAGGGACTAAGTAAGAATCAGGCAGGGCTTACATTCCCATCTGAAAAATAACAATGCTGCCCTAGCTCAGTGGTCGGCAAACTCATTAGTCAACAGAGCCAAATATCAACAGTACAACGATTGAAATTTCTTTTGAAAGCCAAATTTTTTAAACTTAAACTATATAGGTAGGTACACTGTTATTAACTTAATTAGGGTACTCCTAAGCTGGCCTTTGCTAGAAACTTCCTCAATCTGATTGAGGTACGTTCGCTGAGGTCGACCCCTTCCAACTCTCCCATCCACACTCGTCTTGTATACTTGTTTCGTCTATCTCCTTTCCGAAAACTGACTTCTGCGCATGGGCCACGAAGTTTTAATCTCACTGTATGTGCGCCCGCACGTGGTATTTTGTGGAAGAGACACACTCAAGGGGCCAAAGACGCATGTGGCTCGCGAGCCGCGGTTTGCCAACCACTGCCCTAGCTGGTTTGACTCAGTGGGTAGAGCATCAGCCTGCAGACTGAAGGATCCCAGGTTCGATTCCGGTCAAGGGCATGTACCTTGGTTGCAGGCTCCTTCCTGGCCGGGGGTGGGGTGGGGGGGTGGGGGGGGGGGCCCTGGTCAGGGCACTTGCAGGAGCCAACCAATCGATGTGTTTCTCTCACATCAATATTTCTCTGTCTTTCCCTCTCTCTTCCACTCTCTCTAAAAATCAATGGAACAATATCCTCAGGCGAGGATTAAAAAAATAATAATGAAAACTAATGATGATGACGAGAAGTAGCAGTAATACTAATCATACTAACAGTGATGGTCAGTGGAATATTGCAGCCGGTGTTCTAAGTGCTTTACATAAATTACCTTATTTAATTCCCATGGCATTCCCTAAAATGAGTACTATAATGGTCTTCATTTTAGAGCTGAGAAAACGGAAGCATAGGAAAGTAAGTAACCTGCTTAAGACTGCATGGTCCGTGAGTGACAGAGCTATGATTCAAACTTGAGTCTGTCTGAAGAACCTATGTGTTGCTTCTGATGGTGTGTATTGCCCGCCTCTGGAACAGTCATGCTAGTAAATGCTGCACAGCCTGCAAGCCCAGGCTCACATGCTCTCTCCTCTCTGGAGCCTTCTCTTCTCCCGGCCAGGAGTTCTGTCTTTCTCCTTCAAACTTTCAACAGAACTTTGACCTTTTCAGATGGCATTGATCACATTCTGCCTTGTATTATGAATTTGGTGTCTATGCATTCCTTGGTACATGTTTTATGTCTGCATTTTAAGTGTTTCAGATCAAGAATTGTATCACTTTCATCTCTGTATCCCTCTCCAAACCAAGAATAGAGAGGACATTATTAAGAGGGCTCTCTTTCTCCACCTCTATCATCTGCCTGTCTATTCTTTCCATCTTTCTATCATCCATCCATCCATCTATTTATCTAGCTAGCTATCAGCTTGAAGGAAGACAAATAATTATATGTAAAATTCCTTTGTGGACTAAGTACATTAAAATGCAAGCTGTAATTATTATAATGTCCTTCAACACTGAATGTAGAATTGAAAATTTTATGTAATTTAGAATTTCTTTTTTTAATTTCAGAGGTATTTCTTTTCTTTTTTTTGTTTTGTTAATCTTCACTCGAGAACACTTTTCCATTGATTTTTAGGAAGAGTGGAAGAGAGAGGGAAAGACAGAGAGAAACATCGATGTGAGAGAAACACATCAAGTGCTTGCCTCTTGCACGAGCCCTGACTGGGGCCTGGGCCGGGGAGGAGCCTGCAACCAAAGTTCATGCCCTTGACTGGAATCGAATCCTGGACCCTTTGGTCCACAGGCTGACGCTCTATCCACTGAGCCAAACCAGCTAGGGCCAGAAATATTTCTTTATAGTTGGCAGGATTCCAGTTAGAATCTGGATCTGTTGGGCTAGGAAGGAGTCACATGATTTATGGTCTTATTTCTTTTTTTTTATATAGTCTTATTTCTAAGACCTGGTACATGATTTCTGTCTCCTGATTGAAAATATGTTTTCTTCTCTGCCTGCAGACATGAAGATATCTTATCCATCCTCATTGCTGTCAATAATGATGTGAGTCGACGAGGTGTAACGATGAAACAGATCCCTCAACCTCAGTACACACTACGTAAAAAAGTCATATTCCCTGTGCCCCTGGGGGAACCTCCAGAGAGGGTTTTCACTGACTCTTAGACTTGAAAGGAACCTTCTCTTCCAACTTCCCACCCAGCATAGGAATCAGTGACAGATGGTGAACTGGCCTTCGTCTGTCACTCTAGCAATAAGAAATGTTCTACTTTCTGACACAGTAAATTCTGTGTCCCCCCCCTTCCCCTTTTAAACAAATCTAAATGCTACAAAACTTTTTTCTTTTTAATTATTGATGCCTTGGGTTATAATCTTGGCTTTTGCTCTGCACCCTGAGAAAAAAGCAATTGACTTTGGTTTATGTAGCTGTGAAGGAAAAGGTGGAACGAGGGACATTTTAAGGTTCCCCTTCGCTCTAGGAACCAATGTCCTTAGATTTCCCCTCTCCTTGACCACTCCTTGTTATAAGGGACCACTCCTGTGTCCCCTCCCCATGGCCCTGTTTTGGACATTGACCAATGATGAGATCACAAGATCATGGTTTCCAACCCTCCCAAAGCTTTCCTTCTGCACACCTCCTGAGGGGAACCTTTGGTTTACAGCCACGCCCGCCTGCTTCCGTGTTCAGGAAGGTGTTGCTGCAGGAACTGGGCTGGCTCTAGGAAATGACACGCTCAGCTACTCCGGGAGCAGAAACTTTACAACCTGATGCTACTTCCCTGTCGGTCAGGACCTTGCAGAGGCTGGTGACAGAACACTCAACGCAGACTGAGGAAAGCAAAGGACTTACTGCCTCTGCCACTTGAACACATGATGCGTGGTGCTGACTTCCGGGGAGGCCTGAGTCGGGACTCTGGGGTACAGCGTGTGTCTCCCGGCTTGGGGGTGGTGGGGATGGTGGGGGTGGGGGGTGGGGGGGCCCTCAGGGTTGGCAGCTGCACTAACATGCTTGGCTCTTCCAGCCAAAGGAAGTGGAGAGGAGCAGCTTGGGGGACCCACGCTCGCTGTTTACAGGAACTGTTGCCCCTTCTTGGCCAGAGAGGTGTCTGCCTGTGGAGGGCTACGCCTGTGGATAGGTGGCTCTGTATGGAAGCCTGACGCTTCTAAAATTAAGGTTTTGAACATTTCTATGTATGTGAACTCTGTTTTCAATTTCAAGAGGAATTTCTCTTTTTTAATTCTTGGAAAGAGGGAGATGGAAAGAGCTGCGGTTAAGACCTTCGTGTACAGATGAGGAAGCTGCGGTCCCAGGAGGCAGGTCAACGTGCTGCAGCCTTCCAGCCGGCTATTGTTTACGTGATTCATTTCCCATGGAAGCGAGCTGAGCAGTCACGGGACGTAGTGGGGCTTTATGAACGGCCCCTTGGATATGCAGAGGCTCATGAAAGACGTCGGGGAATGAAGAACATTCTCAGTGATGTCTGATTTTATAGTCAGATTCATTTATGGTGAACTTTCTAGGAGAAATGGTCATGAGAACCTTGTTAATGTAACTAGTAATCACGTGGATTTGAATGTAGCTTGGCAAAGGAACCCGTATGTCAGGATGGTCTTCTAAAACTGTGGTTCATACATGTCAGAGGAACAGCTGGTGGTTACAGTCTTTGTTCAGTTGCATATGCACAGCTGTTGGCCACTTACCAGTCCTCCTCTACAGGGAAGCATGGCGTGGGGCAGAGCAGAGAGTCGCGGGTAGAAGCTTTGGGTTTGTGATGCCCTGTGACGCCCTTGCTCTAAGACACTAACTCAAGCTAGTTTTCTGAGCCTTTTCTATAAAGTAGAGAAAATATTATCTGTTGGAAGGATTAATGAATATATATATGCATACATACAGGGTGGGGTAAAAGTAGGTTGACAATTGTAAACCTTTTGCCCCATCCTGTATATATTCTTAGATTTAATGGCTATCTATTTAGCTATCTATTTAACTATATAGATAGCTAAATAGAGACACCTATATGCATATATATATATATATATATACTGTATCACCTTTTTGGTGATAATATATATATATTTGGTAATATATATATATATATATTATATAAAATGTAATTGTGCTGCTGTGCATATAAGGCTTTTAGATGCAGAGTCTTTTGGTAGTAACGCAAATGAAAATAGCAGAATCTGAGTTCCTTTGCATCTTATTCCAGCTACTTGTAGCTGCAAATCAACACTAGCAATACCTACTGCCATCCTCTGAGTGAAAAGCTGGCTCTTACCTCACTGGCTCATAATGTCCCCGCAGCAACAAGGCCAGCTCCTGGCTCTGTGTCCAGATAGACAAAGCACTGCTTATGAAGTCTCCCTCATTAGAAACATTTGGGGTTTACCTGTGGGGCTACTTCAGGGACTGAAGTGTGATGGGCCCGTATGATATCTAGGGGATTCCCCCTTAGTAATACATTATCTCCCGGCCAATGCTCAGGTAATTTAAATATATAAGCAACTGGTGCACTGTGGGTACTGGCCAATCAGAATAGACACTGACCAGTATAATTCAGTGGTAAATGCTGCTGAATAACAGCCCTTTATCAATGATCAAGTCTCCACTGAGGCCAATCAAATTAGAAGTTTAGCTCATTTTAGAGATGACTTTTGTGCCACATCTACCTTACAGTCTTCCAGGTCAGATGCTGTCTGAGTGATTTAGTCAAGCTGTTCTCAGCCTGGAATTCTTGGGTCCACAGGTGTTTGTGGCTTTCTTCTCAGGGTCTTTGAGTCCTCCACCGTCATTTTAAATGTTGTCATTCCCTTTTGGTGATAATGAAGAAACGTTAATAGAAGTGAATCCTGGCTCTTCTGTATGACCAGTTTATATGCATTTGAGTTCTGCTACACAGACTCTGTGCTCACATCCTGATGTTTACAAAAGTGTTGAACTTTTTAAAAAATTAAATTAATTGGGGTGACATTGGTTAATAAGATTATACAGGTTTCAAGTGAACATGTCTATGATACATGATCTGTATACTGCATTGTGTGCCTATACATTGAACTTTTTACTGTAGCATGGATAAGGGTCCTTGGCTGGAGGCCCTCAGATTTATTGTCTGGTGCCCGTGGTTAATCTATTTGAAACCTGCTCCAGTCCAGCCTCTCACCAATGCAGGGTTGCCAATCCTCCACTATCCTTCACCTCTCACTCTTCCTGCAGCGGGGACTTGCATCACATGCGGAGTCATGGATTTGGGAGCTTAAAAAACTCAAGAAACCCTGTGGTCCAGCCTTCCGAGTGTTGAGTGACTTGCTGAATTCTCACAGCTGTTAGTGAAGGGTTTGCAATCCTGTGCATCTACTGCTCTGCAATCCTGCCACCTGCTTTTTCCCGGTAGGACAGCTGTCATTGTTCTTTTCTCTGTTGGACTTGAATCTACCTCCTCAGAATGGACTTAAAACCACTGGTTCTCATTCTAAACTCTGGAGCCACACCAGCCAAGCAAGTATAATTATCCTCTGAGGAGGTATATACTGTAAGCAACAAGTTATTTAACTTTTCTGGTGCGGTATGGGTCTTGTCAAAAGTCTGCAGTTTTTTCTAAGGTTGTGTTAAGAATGTAGGGACAGATTTGTATTTTAGAACAGGAACTACATTTTTGAAAGTGGAACCCTTGGTGAAAAGTACTAGGGGAAATCCCGTTTTAAAAAACATTCATGTGTCAATATAAACAACCATTTCTTAACATAAATTTGCATATGTGATTTTTAAGAGTTTTTCTATTAAAAATTTACAATTGTATTAATTCTTAATTTTTAAATTTATTTTCGAACAGATAATATCTTTGTATTGTTTATAGGTAATAAAATATAAAAAGGTACCCAAGTAAAGTCTCGCTCCCATTTCTGTCGTATGCCCAATCCTTACCTCCTCATCCCATAAATAATTTCAGGGTTTCTTTTTTTAAAAAAATATATCTTTATTGATTTCAGAGATGAAGGGAGAGGGAGAGAGAGATAGAAACATCAATGATGAGAGAGAATCATTGATTGACTGCCTCCTGCACATCCTCTACTGGGGATGGAGCCTGCAACCTGGGCATATGCCCTTGGCTGGAATCAAACCTGGGACCCTTCAGACTGCAGGCCGACGCTTTATCCACTAAGCCAAACTGGCTAGGGCATTTCAGGGTTTCTTAATGCAGGCACAAATACCAATATGTGTGCATTTTAAAACAGGTATTGCCTGAAGCAAAGTGCATGCACTGTGAAACTCACATCTCTTATTTGGTCTCATTTTAAATGATTCTATGCAAGATGCTTGGAAATACTGGTACAATTCTAGAACGGGAATAACTTTATAAATTTTGTGGACTGGATACTTGTAAATAGTAGTAATTGATTTACCAATAAAGAGGTGTTTGTTTTTTTCCTTTTAACCTTTGATTTTGGTGTGTTTTTTTTTTTATTAGTTAAATCTTTATTGTTCAGATTATTACATTTGTTCCTCTTTTTTCCCCCCATAACTCCCCTCCACCCAGTTCCCACCCCACCCTCCGCCCTCACTCCCCACCCACTGTCCTCATCCATAAGTGCACGATTTTTGTCCAGTTTCTTCCCGCCTCCCCCTCACCCCTTCCCCCCCAAGAATAGTCAGTCCATTCCCTTTCTACGCCCCTGATTCTATTATAATCACCAGCTCATTCTGTTCATTCAGATTCACTTGTTGATAGATGTGTATTTGTTGTTCATAATTTATATCTTTACCTTTTTCTTCTTCTTCCTCTTCTTAAAGGATACCTTTCAGCATTTCATATAATATTGGGTTGGTGGTGATGAACTCCTTTAGCTTTTTCTTATCTGTGAAGCTCTTTATCTGACCTTCAATTCTGAATGATAGCTTTGCTGGATAAAGTAATCTTGGTTGTAGGTTCTTGGCATTCATCACTTTGAATATTTCTTGTCATTCCTTGTCAGGCCTTTCTGTTGAGAAATCAGCTGACAGTCGTATGGGTATTCCCTTGTAGGTAACTGACTTTCTTTCTCTTGCTGCTTTTAAGATTCTCTCTTTGTCTTTTGCTCTTGGCATTTTAATTATGATGTGTCTTGGTGTGGTCCTCTTTGGATTCCTTTTGTTTGGGGTTCTCTGCGCTTCCTGGACTTGGAAGTCTATTTCTTTCAGCAGGTAGGGGAAGTTTTCTGTCATTATTTCTTCAAAGAGGTTTTTAATATCTTGCTCTCTCTCTTCTTTTGGCACCCCTATAATTCAGATGTTGGTACGCTTGAAGCTGTCCCAGAGGCTCCTTACACTATCTTCGTATTTTTGGATTCTTTTTTCATTTTGCTTTTCCGGTTGGGTGTTTTTTGCTTCTTCATATTTCAAATCATTGACTTGATTCTTGCGATCCTCTAGTCTGTTGTTGGGAGTCTGTATAATATTCTTTATTTCAGTCACTGTATGCTTAATTTCTAGTTGGTCCTTTATCACAACCTCGAGGTTCTCATTAGATTTCTTGTCGATCTCATTAAGTTTATTGGCAGTTTCTAGAAAATTCTTGAAAAACCTTAAAAGTGTGGTTTTTAACTCTATATCCAGTAGTTTGCTTTCCTCCATTTCTGTCATTTGTGTCCTTTTTCTTTGTCTCCGCATTTTTTTATGCTTCCCTGTGGTGATAAAGTGGTTTTCTGTGCTAAGTGTCCTCTAGGGCCCAGTGGTTCAGCCTCCCCAATTACCTGAGGAGGACACTCTTGGTGCACCCCTTTGTGGGCTTTGTGCACAGTCTTGTTGTAGTTAAGCCTTGATTGTTGTAGGTATCACTGGGAGGATTTGACCTCCAGGCCAATTGGCTGTGAGAATCAGCTGTGTCTGCAGTGGGAGAACTTCTGTGCTGGAGACACCCCTCCGGGGCAAGACTTGCTTCAGTGGGGCTTTGGTGCTCAC